CAGGAATGCTCTTCAGGTGCTTAAATTATTTGCATTTATGTTAATGTTTCACCTATTTATATAGAAGGGAAAATAATATTAAAACACTATTTTATATTGCCCCTCACTCACCCACCATTGTTTTGGAGTGGTGAACTTGGATTTAGTCAAGAGCTCTGGCACCGTGTCACACATATTGAGGATGTAATAATGAATATAGTAGTTAGCATTTTGAGGTGAGAATAAATAGAAAACCTTAAAGCTTTAAAAAGTAGTTTCATTCTTGTTAACTTTTTTTTTTTCCCCAATCCCCTTTCCAAATAGTTTTGTTTTTTAAAAAAAGGAATTACTGTGTGATATTCTTTGTATCTTGTTTAGGACTGGTTCATTCAGTTGTTGTTGTTAAGTGCTGTCAAGTCAGTTCCCACCCACAGCGACCTTGTATACACATTCTGAGGACCTACTGGTGGGTTTGAACTGCCAACCTTGCAGTCTAAACTGACCTTGCATTCCAGCTCATTATCCTGCAGCACCACAGCAGAACTTCCATTCAATAGTAGCAGTCTTTCTATAATTAAATTAATAACAATTTAATTAATGATTTACTATAACTTATGACTATAGCTAAGAGTCCTGGTGTGGCACTGTAAGATAAGCATTGGACTGCTCAGTGCAGCTGGCGCTTCAAACCCACCAGTCACTTCTTGAAAACTCTCGACAGGGTTGCTGTGAGTCAAAACCAACTCGGCAACACTTATCGACAACAGCTTTGCTGTAGATGACGTGGATTGTATAGTCTCAGTGCCTCTCTAGGTGCCAATTGGAAACAGCTGTTTTTACATTTTTTCATAGTGAGACGTAGTGGTGTGGGGAAGAGAATATTTAAAAACATATTTCTGGGGTGGCATAAGCAGAAATAAGCGATGCTTCTTAAAATGGGAGTTAAATGGTAAGTTGCTTGAAACTGCAAAGTTTTGTGCATTTTAAGGGAAAAGGTTATGAACATTTCTCAGTTCTTTTTTTTTTTTTAAGGTTTTTATTGTGGATTGAGTGAAAGTTTATAGGGCAGATCATCAGTTTCACATTCAACAATTCATGAAACTTGTTTCATTACAATGATTATAATCCCCTCCATATACCATCAGTTAAAAGTATTTCTCTCTATCCACTTTAGATTTTTAAAAAACACACAAACAAAAAAACCCACTTAGGCATACGTAATAATTTACAGCTCCAAAGGGCACATTCTGCAAGTCTGCTTCTAGCCACCAGTTCTTAGTCTTTCTCTTCTTAGTTGATAAATCTAGAGTCCTCAGCCGCTCCCCGTCTCCATGCCCCCATCTCTGCCTCCATCTCTGGTGCTGCTGCTTCTCTGGATAAGGTCCCGCATTCTATTTGTGTGTTCCTCTCTTG